TGCTCCATCTCATATACATTTTAATATCCTGTAGCATAATCGTAGAGTGAACCTCTTTGGTAGGATGGGGAGCTGAGTCTTCAACTTCCTGCCATTAGCTCTGATGGTGGTGGACCTTGTTGGCGTGGGGTGAATCTGTAAATTAGAAAGGCAGCCCAGAAGCCAGCAGTTTTCTTTAAAAGCAACCTGACTGATCTGACCCATGCTTAGCTTCCCCATTCCTGCCATATTAAGGTGTATAGAAGACTCACGGATGACCTTCCTGCCTAGCCGCCAATTAATGTCCCAAAGTGGCTGAGGATATGATTGCGCTGGAAGCCTGAGAAACAAACTCTGGGGCTCTGTTGTTCAGAGGTGCTCATTGGCTCACTGAGGGACCTGATGTCATGATGGGGGAAACCTACTGAAAGCCAACCCTCTGTCCTTGCTTCGGTCTTCATTCCCCCCTCTTTCCAATAATCTCTATCCCATACCCTCACTCACTCTTACATCCTGGGGCCCACATTACTCCCAGGGTCATCACTTCTGGTGGTACTGATGGTCTCTGATTGGCTGTGCTCTATGAAGATCATGATAGGTTAAAAAGGGCCGCTGCAGTAGTGGGCAAGTTGTGGAATTGGAAACAGCCTGCTGGGATGAAGAGGCAACAGTAAATGTGAAGCGGAAGATGTTTCCAATCCCCATAGTTGACTTCCCCAACTTCCCACTACTGCAATGGCCCCAATAACCCACCTTGATTATCATTGAGTAAACCCTCATGATTGACTGTCTGAACTGATGAGTGAGTGGGCCCCTGAATGATCCCTGTGCAGCTCCCTTACTGGCCTTTCGTGAATCCCTGGATCGGTTGCAAGGGACAAATGGTCCTGACCATGGTCCGTTCCCAGAAGGTAGTGATATGAAACCTCTGAACCCCCAATGCCCCAAATTGTTCCTGTGTGCAAAGTGTCCTGGTAGCAGCAATGAAAGGTACTGGTGTGCTCCACGGTGCAGTTTTGAGGTGGAGGATTGTATTCTACATGAGTGAGATATGCCATGAAAAGTTGGCGAGGCTGGTGCAAGCTCAATGGATTGGGGATAGGGTGCTGCAGGGTGTCAATGCCCATGGAGATTTTGGAAGCTGTTGTCCAAGCGGAGGCCTGGACGAGCAAGCAGTGATCTGGAGCTGCTAGGAACGTTCTCTGTTTTCCATTGTCAGGAATTCTCGCCGTCTAATTTCCCTCTTACAAAAGGGAGAATAGGGAATTGCACATACATGAAGGAAACTTAGGTGCTAATGACATGTAAATGCATGTAAGCAGGCTTCCTGGCTCTTAGCAGTGAGATTCTTATTTCACTGTTGAAAACCTGCTTGCACAATTGGACACTGATTTCTCAACTTTGGGAATGTCATTTTTCCAATTTTGCCATGCTTTCCCACCTGACTCTGCATTGTCCACGTCGTTTAGAAGTTGAGAAATCTCAGCCCTACTTTTCAATTGCTATATGAAAGGATCCATTGTTCCACTTTCTGCAACTGCATATAGTAAAGATGTACTCTAAATGTGATCTAATCAATAAAATTGATTATTGAAATGCTTCAGCATTTATTTGGCAGAATTTTTATGGCTATATTATTATATCATTTAAAAGGGAAGTCAATACTTCTTTAAAAAGAAAGATTTAAAAGATTGCAGTTCTGAAAAAGAGTCACAATGAACTTAAAAACACTAACTCTGTTTTTCTTTCTCCACAAATGCTACCAGACCTCTTGAGTTTCTTCAGCATTTTTTGTTTTTGTTTCAGATTTCCAACATCCACTGTATTTTGCTTTTATAAATTTTAAAAGGCACTCTGGAAAGGATAGGTGACTGGGAGTCTGGCACTGAGTGCATAGGTCTTTCAGACAGAACAGATGCAAAGAGTCTCCTTCTGTGCTGTAAAATTATACATTCCACAATATGCATTGTTCAAGCAAATGATGTCTTTGATTAATTTTATCTTTTACCTAAAGCATGCATGACACTGTATACCCCGCTCACTTGCTTGGCAAATGTAGTCTATATGGGTGGATGGGATGGTATAATAGCAATGCCATTCGACCAGTAATCTAGAGATTCAGATTAATGTTCAGGGTTCAAGGGATTAAATCCCACCACAGGAGCTGGTGGAATTTAAATTCTATTAATGAATCTGTAAGTCAATTATAGAAATAGCAGCTATAGGAACTTTCAATGATTGTTGAATAAATCTATCTGGATCACTAATGCTCTTTAAGAAGAAAATCTGCTTTATTTTTACCTGTTCTGGCCTACATGTGACTCCAAACCCACAACAAAATGGTTGACATGTAACTGCTCTTTGAAATCTCAACGCAATTTAAGGGCAGTTCAGGATAAGAAACAAATGTTAGCCTTGCCAACAACATACACATTTCTTAAAATAAAATCAATGTAATGCAGACCAAAGGTATCAGGAATTAATATATAACTGGTTGTGCAGTAACGTTACTGGAGTAGTAGTATGTAAATATGGATCAATAATGCAACAAATCTTAGTACGGACACTGTTCAGGAAGTATAAAATTTGAATTAAGTTTAAAAATTTGGAACATAAAAGATTTTGTTTTACAAGTTCAATTTAAAAAGAAAAGCCTGTATTTAGATGGTGTCTTTCACGAATGGTTGATATCCCAAAGCACTTTCCTAGCAACTGAGTACTTTTGAAATGTGGTCACTGTTGTAATATAGAAAGCGCAGCAAACTCCTTCAAACAATAATGGGGTAGTGACCGGATCATCTGTTCTTGAGATGTTGATCAATTGGTCAGAGTATTGGGATAACTCCTCTAATCTTCTTTGAAACAATATTGAAAGATCTATTATGAGGAGATGAGGAGGGGTGAATCAGTTCCCCTCTTTTCAATGCCTCATGGTCACAACCAAAGGTTAACTCACTCTTTTAGCATGTGGCTATATCCTTCTCCAACGAAAAAGTTGTTAACTAGTTGTTACTCTAGCAGTAAGGAGATATTGACAATAATTTATTGTGTTAAAAAAGAGCAAAAGTAGATCTTCAGACCTGTGAAAAACAAATACATATCTAAAGCAGTGATATCAGTTTTATAGCCTTTGGCATACATGCACATATACACTTAAAACAGAATAGTGTAGAGAAGAATCTACTTTAAAATATTTCGATTGTCTTTGAGCCGTAAGGTTTAAACCTTAAACCCGGTTGGTTAGTTTGCTTTTTGGACAGTCAACAGTAGTGAAGGTTGTATTTATTTTTAAAGTTCTAGGTTTCCTGATTTTTCTTTCCACTCAGTGTTGTTACTGTCTTTCAGCTCTAAATCCATTTTCTTCCTTCTGCTACAGAAAGAGCTTCTTAAATAACAGCTCGCTTTTATATTCCCATCTGCAAACGATACTTCATCTCCAACATGTGAAGATTCTCATCATAGTGCAAATTAGATAGGAAATGAAGGCCTTTATACTTCTCCCTGAGAGGATGTTTGACTGACTTCAGATAAAATGTTAATTACAACTCAGGCTGTCTCTTGTCTAACTCAAACAAAAACAGAAATTGCAAGAGAAATTCAGCAGCTCTGGCAGCCCCTGTGGAGAGAAACAGTGTTGGCAATTCAAATCTAAAGACCCTTGTTCAGAACTGAGAACTGGGAACTACTGAGTTTCTCCAGCAATTACTGTTTTGTTTTATTTGTTTCTCCAGCATGCACAGTTCTGTATTTTATTCTTGTCTAAACCATATTGATTTCATGAAACCTGATAAACCTGTGTAGATTAGCTGATTCCTGTGGCCAGTTTAAGTTGGTGTTTTAGGTCCTTTTTAAAAGCCATTTCAGTCCATGGCAGTCTCGGGTGATAATTCAGATAATGAAATCAAAGTCAATGGATCTGTTAGCTCCACCTGCAAGAGTAGAGAAGCCTTCTATTTAACATCTCACCCAAAAGACAAAAGAAAAGGTTAGCATGAAGCTGTTAGTTCTTCAAAACAAACCTCAACTGGCACTGTAGAGTCTTACAAAGAGGAAAATTTACTATTCTTATCCGGTTCATCCCGTGTGTGGCCGCTGTGCCGCATCAGATTATGTGACTCTTAGTTCTGACTTGGAAATATATTGCCATTCCTTCACTGTCATTAGGTCAAAATCCTGGTGCTCCCTCACTAACAACATTGTGGATGTACCTACTGCAAACAGGCTGCAGTGGTTCACCACCACCTTCTCAAGGACAATTAGGGATGGTCAACAAATGCTGATCCAGCCAACAAAGCCAGAATAAGTTTGAAAAAATGCTCAAGTGAGCAATGAAATGGGATCAAATTGAAGATGATCCACCATTATCATCTTCTCAGAGTGGCTACCAAAGGTCAGCCTTGCCAATAAATGGCCTCATCCCAAGATTGAATAATAAAAAGAATGACCTTAATATGAGAAGGCATAGTTTAAGCAGAATAGCTACTTCTGACAGTGTTCAGGTGAGATACTGCCTCCCCATACACTGTTACCCTCTCTGTCTGTCAGCATTCATTCTCCGCATTCATATATTGGCTGCTTGATGAGATAGAGAAAGGTGTCTAATGCCTATGAATCGTATTACAGCATGAATCAGTGCCCTCAGGATAAAAGAGTGAAGAAAAGAAATTCTTATTTTGGCCAGAATCCAAATCGTACCTATATTATTTGAATACGTATTGTATGAATACTTTGTTTCTTGAACTAACTTAAATTGTTTCTCCCTTTAAAGGCCACTTCTACTGATAGGTAGTAAGTTACTGTAATTACTCAAATGTATTGTCATTGTTACATTTGAAGGAGACAGGGCTTGAAATTTTAGCAAAGACAACATTGGGAGCGTTTACCTTTTTCTGAATTGGTATCTTCCAAATGCTTGGCATTTTTCCAGAAATGGTAGGCAAGGCAGGGCAGGGCTTGATATTTCACAAGAGTCAAGTTCAGTTCTGAATGATGGAGTAAGGCATGTCTGATTAAAGGGCTTGGCTCTTGTTAATGTCTGATTCACATTGGTTGCCTTTGGATTGCTTGCAGCAGATTCTTAGATGTGTCAGAATTAGTCAAGCAGAGAAGTAATATAAGTTGACAGTCTAAACACTTTCAGAGTCTACCTTCCCTCTCCTGCAATAAACGTCGACTATTAACTTGCTGCAGAGATTGAAGCTTTTCGTTAACGATGAATACGTTTTTCTCAAGAGCACTGGTTGGTTACAGCTTTATTATTATTGCATCCTCAGTGTCTGGCACCTACGTTTGGAATGGTAACAGATATGTAGGTAGGTCTCTATACTTACCTTTCAGTACTTCAACTAGAAATTAAAAATCTTGAGTGAGTTGTGAATGATCTGTGAACAAAGTAAAGTACAGGAGAATGTCACTGTACTCTTTCTGCTTTACAATAACCTTGCTTGATAATATATTCAACCTGAGTATGAAGTGATTCCATGTTAGGATTTTAGATTACGTAGAATCTTTTTGCGCTCGACAGGGAGCGTCATGACTCAGTACTGGGAGCTGCCTGGATTCTCATTTTCTGTATCAGGGAGCTGGAAGAGCTAAAATGCAAGGAAATAGAAGGGAAAAATCTGAACAGATAAACTTGGGAGTGTAATTAATTGTTTAATATAAAACAGAAGCAGGAACATTGCTTTCCTAATTATTAATGAAATGATGTGGAGTTGAATTACATGAACTCTGGTCCTAACTGTACCTACTCAATGTCAAGAGTATGACCACGTGTCCAAAACAGCAGTCATTTGATTGTGGCGTCCATGTCACTTAAGTGTTCCTATCCATTGCCATTTTAACTGGATATCTTGTTGGTCGTACACACTCATCGCAGGCAGCTGAAAACCTCCTGGATGTACAAAAGTTATATGGCACAGGGTGTGCGCAAGATGAGATCAACATTAGCAAGATCAGCATTATTTGAGGCTAGCGAGTTCATTCATTGTTTAATAAAGGCTGGGATGAAACTGTTCCTGAGCCTGCTGATACATGTGTTCAGGTTTCTGTATCTTCTGTCTGATGGAGGAGGTTGTAGGAGGTCATTACCAGGGTGCGATGGGTCTTTGATGATGTTGGCAGCCTTTCCACTGCAGTGAGCTGTTAAATGGTGTCCATAGATGAAAGGTTGGCTTCTGTGATGGTCTGGGCTGTGCACACCACCTTCTGTAGTTTCTTACGGTCCTGGGCACAGCAGTTGCCATACCAAGTCATTATGCACCCAGACAGTTTACTTTCAATTGTGCATCTGTAGATGTTAGTAAGGGACCTTTGGACATGCCACATTTTCCAAGCTACATGAGAAAGAAGAGATGTGCCTTCTTGACCACTGCATCTACGTAGGAAATCCAGGGCAGGTTGTCAGCTATCACCACTGCAAGGAATTTGAAGCTCTCCACCCTCTCATTTTTATTGCGTTATCAACCTCAGTAAACTCAATCAGGGTACAGGTTTCATTTGGGCACAGGAATAGCAGGAGGAATTGTAGTTGTATCTATCAGAAAATAGCAGGAGATGGGATTGCTCTTAGGACAGATGCAGGGCAGGAATCACTTTCTGGGGCTACTCCTGGCTTGTGACTTCATGTTACTCAAGCCTGTGAGTGCACAATTACACACTGGCCCATCTGTGGATTTCCATTTTGACATGGTGGAGAGGCTTGTATACGTCAATGATTGCTCGAGTGATGCTATCGGGAGCTCCTTGTTCCTGGTAGGGACACCCATGACAGCAAGACTGGGGGAAGGTGCCAGGCAAAGTACAGTCCAAATGTCCTCAATGACAGAACAGACAAAGGAAGTCTGGCTGCGAAGGTGAAGAAGGCTGCAACCTCAAAGAACTCATTGTATTTGAGACTCAACACATCACTGAAATCAGATCACAAACTAGACAGAATCATTTGAACATTGAGAGAACTTATGTTAAATGAAGTAATGAACAAGTTCTGTTAGGTCCATTTGTCAAGACTTGTAGCAATAGAGAACTGATGATGGGAACAGGGTGGATTTTGATTTGTTCTTGGGTGTGGGCATATTGGTTAGGCGATCCTTCATTGCCAATGTAAAAGTGTTAATGAACTGCCTTCTTAAAGTTCAGCGATCCATAGGGTGTCAGTGCTGGTAGCAAGGCATTTCCAGGACTTTAAGCCAGCAATAGTGAAGGAATAGTGATACAGTTCCAACTGAGAGTGGCATGTGGCCTATGGGTGGTGGTGCTTCTGATCATCTGATGTCTTTATTTTTCTAGGTAATAGCGGTTGCATGTTTGAAAGTTGTTGTCTGAGAAGCCTTGATTAAGTTGCTGCAGTATATCTTGTAGATAGTACCGACTGGCATCACTGTCCATCAATGATGAAGGAAGTGAATTTTGAAAATTGTGGATTGGGTGCCAATCAAACAGGTTGCTTTGTCCTGGATGATGTCACTTCTTGATTGTCTTTGGAGCTCCATTACTCCAGACAAATGGAGGGTATTATTCCTTCATATGTACCTAGTAGATAGAAGACAGACTTTGGGGATTAAGAGTTAAAAAAAAATAGAACATAGAACATACAACAGTACAGCACAGTACAGGCCCCTTGGCCCACGATTTTGTGTCAACCTATTATCCTACTGAGATCAATCTACCCTGCGTACTCTACATTTTACTATCCTCCATGTGCCTATCCAAGAGTCGCTTAAAAGTCTCTAAAGTATCTGACTCCACTACCACTTCTGGCAGCGTATTCCACACGCCCACCACTCTCAGTGTAAAGAACCTACCTCTGACAGCTCCCCTGTATCTTCCTCCGATCAGCTTAAAATTATGCCCCCTCATAATAGTAAATTTGAGTTACTCCCCACAGAAATCTCTGCTCTTGTTGCTACATTATTTATCTGGCTGGTCCAGTTCAGTTTCTAGTCAATGTTAACCCAAAGGGTGTTGAAAGTGTGGTATTCAGCAATGGGAATGCCATTGAAAGCAATGGGGAAAAGGTTAGAGTCTCCCTGTTTGAAGTGGTCATTGCCTGGTACTTACGTGATATCAATGTTACATGCTACCTAACTGCCCAAGCCTGAAGTTTTCAAAGTGTTGCTGCATATGGAGATGGGCAGTTTCAAAATGGTGCTGAACATTGTGTAATCATCAGGAAAAGTCTCCATCTCGGACCTTATGATAGAGCTTTAGCCATTGATGAAACAGCTTAAGGTGGTTGAGCCTAGGACACTGCCCTCAGGAACTCACACAGAGCTGTCCAGGAGCTGTGATGATTAACATCCAACAATCACAACCATCTTCATTTGTGCCAAATATGAATCCAACAGCGGAAACTTCATCCCCTGATTCCCATTGACTCCAATTGTGATAGAGGTTGGTGAACCTGAGAGTTCTTGGTCAGTATTCTACACACAGGCAACAGGTTCATGAAGGTTATTTGACATATACATTGGGACAGAGCTGTCTTAGGGCAGCAGCATTTGTGACTGAGCAGTCGTCAGCATACCTTCCTGTCACCCCAAACAGGGAATTGGGGGGTGGGGCTAGAAAAGGTGTTTTAAAGTTAGATTGTCCTACTTTCTCCTGCGTGGGGAAAATAACCCTTCTGTGCCACCATCTTCGTGGTCAAAGCCAGAGCATTTTAAGTTGTGCACCTTGGAATGTTAGAATACTCATGGGTAATGTCAACAGGTCAAGAATCAACCTGTTCAGCCATATGAAAACCCACAGCAGAAACTGCCAGCCTTGAGGTGGCGTCACCTCCAACTGAGAGACAATCGATGATGGTTCTTCTTGTTAGCTGCTGCCCAGGTAATCTGGCTCAGTTGACCTGCCAGCGGTTAATTCAGGGGGTGACAAGTGAAGATGTATTCACAGCCTCAGTCATCCCATCGTGCCACTGTTACTCCTCTATGACTCCAAAAGAGCAGACAGCAGAAAAAAAGGTGATTTCTTGAAAGCCCATATCTTTGTGGCTCATCAATCGACCTAGAGAAGTCTTAAAGATGGGTAATCCGAACAGGAACATGCAGACATTCCACCTCTCCCAGTTTTTGACCACAGCTGGTTGTGAAAATAAAGCAGTGCTGCTCTCTTAGCACCTGCTGTACATCGAATGGGGGATGAAGCGCATCAAGCACCTTTCAAATGAGCTGATGCAGCTGTTGAACAGATCATGTTTAATGTTATGCTGCTTGGTCTCTGAAGCTTTAATGCTTTACAAAACTCTGGCAAGTTGCCTGGAGGTGTAATAAACTACCAGCACAGAGTTCATGAACTTTGCACTGGTTTCCCATCACACCAATGTTTGTTCAAGTAGATTAGAAAATGAATAAATTAAAAATAAAGTGGAATATTATGAATAGATCTACCTGCTATTTGTCAAATAAATTAGTTTATCTTCAAGAGTGTTGTGACCAGTTAAAGATGCAAACATTGATAGAGACTCTAAAAATGGCCTTTTCAAATATTGCTCTCAAAGAGAAGCAGTCGGGGAGTTCCAATCTGCGATGTTTGATGTCAGCCATTCACGTGGAAGAAGTTTAGATCAAAAAAAGTCTCAAAATTATCTGTGATTTCCTTTTTAAATGTATGACCAGGGACTAGCAGATGTGCATTATTCAAATTATAGACTGTTACTCAGTGGTCAGTCTGTTATCTCAATTATCAGCTGTACAATGTGGCTTGATTACATTGTATATATTGTGTAGAGGGCTGTTGATACAATCTATTCTGTAATCTTACTAGGGTTGAATCTTGCCAATCTGACAAGATATGGAGCAAACTCACACTTGATGTTTTGTAACTGGCAAGTTGGTGGTCTTGAGTGTGAGTCTTGGTTGGACTGTTACAATTAGTCTCAATGCCCCTGAACCAGGAGAATCCACAAAGTTCCAGTCCCTAGTTCTTACCTAGTAATCACAACTGGTGTGTGGCACAGAAAAGGCAGATTAGAATTGTTGCCCTTACCTCCCATAATCAATAATCCCTCGATACTCAGTTTATAGATCAGTTAGAAGAGATATCAAAGTTAGGCCACACATTGACATAAGGTAGTGGAAGGGAATCAAATAAAATGAATCTGAGAAATAAGAGATAAAATATAACGCAACTTTCCAATTTAATTTCATCCTTCCTTACATATCACCTCTTGTTTACTAATTATTGCTGAAAGCCTTCATGTGTAGCTGAGTCCATGACCTGTAGCTTGGCATACTCCAGGCAAAGTTGTCACATGAAATAGAACTCTTGGACAGGGTAGTAAATTACTCATAGTGTCCACATAGCCATATCC